AACGGCTGAAGCGCAGTCGGCACGACTGCAGAGCAGCCACCACCTGAACACAACGGTGAATACGCGTGATATGGACTGTGAGCGTGTGTGCATGTTTGTGTATGTGCATGCGTGTAGTTGTGTGTGTGTGTGTGTGTGTGCATATGCCTATGTCTCTGTAGTTGTGATTGTGTGTCTGTGTGTGCAGGAACAGTGCGCATCGTTTGCTCGAGCCACGTGTCCCTTCGCCCCGACGGTCATTCCACGATTCCATCAAACCCACTTCCCAACACCCACACACCCAAACCCAAATTGCACGGCACCACTTGTCAAGCATACAGAGGCGTCCTTGACGGCGACGCTGAAGCGGTTGCTGGCGAGGGGCGTGATTGCAGACCCGTCTTTCAGTGCCACGGCGCACACCTGAGCCGCAGTGAAGGAATGATGCACAAGAAGCGTGAGTAAAGCGCTCACGAGAATCTCCACTCTCCACATCAAGCCACGGTAACATCGGCCGCCTCCCTTCTCTCGCATCAACCACCATCAACAACAGCAGTCTACTCACGTCGAGGCCGCAGTCCTCCTGGATGGCGTCGCGCATCTGCTGGGAGAACACATCGAGCTCGGCAGCGGTAAACTGGTCGATCCGCTGGGAGCGGCGGCAGCGGGTGGTCAGCACGGCGCCGGCCGTAAACTGCGCACCGTCGCACACACCCGCGGCGACCGAGGGTGTGTAGCTGGCGTGTTGCAGACGGCACTGCATGAAGCGCACGCCACCGTTGTTCATGCACTGCTCAATCTGGTCCACCGTCTGGGAGAGAATGCAGCGCACACATGCAAAACGGCACAAACGACACACACGCACACATCAGAAGTCAGCGTTCGTGACGTCATAACCATCAACAGGGAGAGGTGAGGAAGTGTGCGAGGCAACGAGAGGGCAATCATGGGTGGGTGGACCCACTTTTCATGTGGGCATGCATGTGTGCAGGTGCTCCGCCCTTGAATCTCGCCAAGCACACTAACATTCGAGCAGACCACTTGCTATCGTTGTAACCCTCTCTCACACACACACGAGGCGGGCGCGCACCACCACCGCCACCACCACTGTCCTCGTCTCCAAGACGGGCAAGTAAGCCACGGCGCCACTCACAGATGAATTGTGGACGGCAACACGGATGGTGTTCGTCAGGGCAGAAACGGGCATGATATCGCTCGCCACGGCCGAACGCACGTCGCACTGCAACAACAACCCCCCCCCCCACACACACACACAAACATGAGCCAACGCGAAACCAGCACGCAGCAGATCATCACATGGTTTGCCAGCCAGCTCACACACGTGCGCGTACACACGTGCGCGTACACACGCACGCACGCAACACACATCATGCCGCAATACATCCTCGCAGACGCGCACGCACACATGTGCTACACATATCCTCTGTTTTCATGTCATGACGCACCGACGTCAGACCGCAGGCGGTCGTGAGCTTTTGGTCCATCTTGCTGGCAAACTTGCTCATGCGCGCAGACGAGTAGTTGGCAATGTCCTTTTCGCGCAGGCAGCGGAATGTCAGTTGGGCCGACCCATCATACGTGAACGAGGAGCACGGATGTGTGTCGGTTGTTGTTGTTGTTGTTGTTGTTGTTGTTGTTGTAGTAGTAGTAGTAGTTGTTGTTGTTGTTGTTGTAGTTGTTGTTGTTGTTGTTGTTGTTGTTGTTGTTGTTGTAGTAGTAGTAGTAGTTGTTGTTGTTGTTGTTGTAGTTGTTGTTGTTGTTGTTGTTGTTGTTGTTGTTGTTGTAGTAGTAGTAGTAGTAGTAGTTGTTGTTGTTGTTGTTGTAGTAGTAGTAGTAGTAGTTGTTGTTGTTGTAGTAGTAGTAGTAGTAGTAGTAGTAGTAGTTGTTGTTGTTGTTGTTGTTGTTGTTGTTGTTGTTGTTGTCGTCGTCGTGGTGGTGGTTGTCGTGGTGGTGGTCGTCGTGGTGGTGGTGGTCGTCGTCGTAGTTGCTGCTCAGCAATGGCGAAATCACAAACACAACCTCTTAGTAAAGTGACAAAGTGCGTCCATCGTCAATACCCACCAACAAAACAAGAAACAACAGTCGGCTGAACACAGCGGCGCACAGCAACACGAGCCACTCCATACACAGGACAAGCACGTGGCACTACCACATGACAGCAGCATTCACGCGGCATACCACGGCAGACGTCGTCGGCCCCGCGCTCTTCGCCTGCAGGACACCCCATGCGGCACGCGTAAAACGAAAACACCTTTCCGCTGCTCACATCCTGAATGTCAACGCCTGCAAAGTTGTTTGCATCAAGTGCATACAACGCGTCAACGTAGCAAGTAACAGTTGGACAAACAAAACAAGCAGGCCAGTGCGCAATCATGTGACGAAACCAAGCCAAGCAAGTCCCAGACACACGGGCCAACAACGACATTCGCGCGCCATGCGTGCAGCACCCAGCTCACCCCATCCCGAGTACCACGCATGCATATCCAGAGATACAGAGATGCAGGCCACGCACCGCCCACAACAGCGTCGCCGTCCAAAGAGATGTTGTCATTGGTGCCAAAGCTTGTCCAATAGCAGTCAGTCGGAGTGGGGAGGTTGGACATGGAGGCGCATTGGAAGGACCACACCCGACCGCTCTTCTCCGGCGCATACGACGAACGCATACCGCTCAAATCTGAGCAACACACGCATGTACACAAACAAAGCACACACACAAAACACAAACGCAACACACCACAACACAACACACACACGCACGCGTCAGGACATGACATAACATGACATGACAGCAATGAAGGATGAGAAATGAGAGGTGATGGTTGAATACAAAAGTGGCCCTCATGTCAACGCGAGCAGAGAAGGTTGAGGCACTACAGCCCTGCTCCATGCAATGCGCTGGTGACATACAATGCAATGCGATGCAATGCGCCACTTACAAGTGCCTGACGGGCAGTAGTGCAGAGTCCGATAAGCGTTGAAGACGTATGACACGGTGCTCCATCTCTGGCGCGAGAAGATTCCCCCCGAGTTCTGTGCGCCACACTTGAACGTGTAGGTGCGGTCACGGGCGGAGTTCTGCTCAGCGTTGGGCACGGCAAGAACACAGTGACCAGAGTGATCAACCCACCAAAGTGAGTTCATGCCACTCACGAAGACTTCCACAGTCGAGAGTACAACGTTGCGCATGAAATGCGAAGCACACACATACACACACATATACACACACGCACGCACGCACACACGCGCGCACACGAGAATGGGACGAGCAAGAACGTGTGGTGCTGGCCGAATTGTCGTACGTCGTAGGTGGAGGTAAGGCCAGTCAGAAACTTCCCATCGGGACAGGTTTTTGCGATGAGCGCCCCCACAGACGTGGATGGATAGTATGTAATATCAGCGTCACTGAATCCTACCAAGGAACGCAATCGCGTGTGTGGGTGTGGAGGGAAGGAGGAAGTTGTGCAAGTTTGCATCGCAAGCAAGCAAAACCTGTGAGTGCAAGTGGGCATGTCACCAAGCGCAAGGCAGTTCCATACATCATGCACTAACAGTCGTGCAGACAGACCTGCACGCACGCACGCACATCCCTCCCTGCACACGCACGCGCACATGTGTCCCTCGTCACGCCTGCCTGAAGCAATCCTATGACACTGCAAACGTACGGTTGCATCGGCGGTCGATCGGGCCCTTTCTTGCCCAGCCATTCTGGAGATCGCAGTGGACGTCGCAGTAGCGCACACGCCACACTCGATCCTCGTTGCTGACACGTGACACAACCAATCGTGTATGTGTGTGCGTGTGTGTGTGTGAAAGAGAGAGAGTGTGTGTGTGTGCGTGTGTGTGTGTGTGTGTGTGTGTGACAGAGACAGCGAGAGAGAGAGACGGAGGGAGAGAGAGAGAGAGAGTGTGTGTGTGTGTGTGTGTGTGTTTCTGTGTGTGCGACAAGTGCAAGACGCGTTTTGTGGAACGGTCGAGATGACAGGCGTGGGTACAAATGATACAACGCCTACGTGTTGCTGTGATAGCTTTCAAGGCCTGAGGGTTGTTTCAGGTCAGCAGACAAAGGAGAAGACACCGGTGAGCTCGCGGTTGAAAGGCTGCAGCGTCGACATGGCAGCAAAGGCAGTCGCAAACACGCTCTTGAGAAGGCAAGAGGGTAGGTCTACACACACACACACACACACACACACACACACACACACACACACACACACACACACACACACACACAGGCGCGCACAGGCGCGCACGCACACGCACACAGGCGCGCGCATGCAGTGTCGGGTCACGCAAGGAGCACGAGCGCAACAGTGACACTGAACACGTGTCGACTCAAATAAACAGGGTGTCAGAAATGCCTTCAGTCGCAAGAGGGATACGCAAGCGAACGGCAAGGATATATGGGCACGAACCGGTGATGATCTGAGCGTCGTTGACAGAGTAGTTCAGCTCATCGTCAAAGTTGTTGAGATACGCTGCATGATGGAATTCGCGCAGCATCCATGCGTGAGGTAGAGAACCAGGAGGCAGTGAGCGCGAAAACGTCAGCGCACTTCTTGCAGCCGTCAGGATTCAAATCACAGTCGAACATGAGCAACTCAGAGCGAGAGAACAAGCCACGTTCTGCGGGAGCGAGCTCGCTTGGACATGTACAAGAAGCCTGGTCCCCTTTCTCGTTTCACAAACCTGTTGTCTGGCAGTTTGTAAGCTTGGCGACGCCTGCTGGCCCACACCCAAAGCCCCAGATGCGATCTGCAAAGGCAAATAAGAAGTCGGCACGCCAAGGAGAACACAGCATGGAGCCCCACGTTCAGGTGAGGTTGTGTCTCATTCTCGTGCACACACGTGACCTGTCAAACACATGAAGATGTCCATGAACGCACACAAACACGCGCACACGCGCGCACACACACACACACACGTACACACAATCTTCAACCAGCAAACCACGCCGCACACCAAACGACCCGAACAAACCACGAGAACATCACCTTCTTTGTCGTTGTTGTGCTCGCTCTTCACGCTATCGAGGTCTATGCGGGGGAAGGGTGTGATGTGATCGAGCAACAATGCAACGTGCAGAGTGATAGGGCATTTGGATGACATCAGGAAGCAAGAAGAAAGACAAGCCACTCCGCATGCAGAGACAAGGACATAGTTCCACGGCTGTCAGTCGCATTCCATGCTTCCATGAGCGCACTGCATTGCACGGTGCACTTACACTGGTCCGCTGGGCACAGCAATGAGATGGGCTGGTCATACAGGTTGGAGTCGAGGTTGCTCTTGCCCGAGCCAGTGTAGTACCAGCTTCCATCTCCGACTTCCGCACACGAGAAGCTCCACACGCGGTCTTCACTGAAAGCGCGTGTACAAGACATGCAAGTCGAGTGTCAGTGTAACAGAAAAAGAGCCAAAGGCAACGGTGGTGAACACGACTGACAACAACTGAACACAGCTAATGTCTAGCCACCAAGCAATCAAGTTGTCCAACGAAGGAACGACACGTGTCATCTCGACACAAAGACACGAAAACAGTGTGTTGGATGGACTCACTAATGATTGCTGTGCACGCTCTGCACTTTGATGAGGCCACTACCGAGGGGGCACTGGTAGTCCAGCGGCTGGTCGTAGTTGTTCTCATATCCAAGTGCGAGCCACGGCACAATGCCGAGCAGCAGCACTGTGAGCCGAACAAGGGGTACCATTCCCTTGGTTGTTGTTGGTCGCCTGCAGCTGGTCGTGGGGCAGGTGAGCGGTAGGAACTCTGAAAATGGACATGTAACACATGAAGTAGGTTGCTTGCCGAGGCGGGAATATGTAAGATGTACGAAGGTGCTAATAACGTGTAGGGAATGTATTCGCATTGCGCATTAGGCGAAAGAATGTTTGTGATGATTTTGACACATGATGAGCCATGACGCAAGTGAAAGAAAATCAGCCGCCGATGCGGACACACAAGCACACAAGAGAGGCGCTGAGGCGATGTGATGATGACATGACTTTGTGCATCACGAAGAGAAGAAGGCAGCGAGATTTCGAAGGGGCGAGCAGAGAACAGGGAGTGATCTCCGTCTCGTCTGTCTTTGTTCTGCTCTGCTGAGTGGTTAGTGTGTTCGTGCGTGGTTAGTGCGTGTGTAGCTCGGTATCCTTGGCTGCTATGTCCTATCACAGCGCTGCAGCGCGTTGGCTGTGTTGAAAAGCTGGTCTGCTTGCATGTACGTGGCATCTCGAGGCAGCATGTGTGTGTGAAGTGTGCAACAAGCATAGAAGCATGTCGCTGTGTCAAGCCGTGCTCGTGTGCGCCAGTAGAAGAGTAGAGTAGAGTGTTCTGAGTGTTGACCTCCACTGCACCCATGTGGAAGGAGCCGAAGGACCTTCAAGGACAAGGACAAGCACTACCCTTTATGGTGTTTGCAACTGTTTTCACTGCCAGCGCCGCCACACGACAACTGCTGCGACACACCCAACACAGCACACAACCATGTCTGGGATTGCTGTTGAGCGCTTGATGGAAGAGCGCAAGAACTGGCGCAGCGACCACCCACACGTGAGTTTGAAGGGGAAACGGTTTCCTTTACCCATGTAGTGTTGGTGATAGTACCCCTTGATGGTTTTTTTTTTTTTGGTGGCGTTCTTGCTTCTCGCCATCCTGCAGCACAGCAACACTTAGAACACTTTGCAAACCTCTGCATTCCAACACACGCCACAGGGATTTGCAGCCCGCCCCGCAACGAAGGATGACGGCACCAAAGACTACATGCTCTGGCACTGCAGTGCGTATGCCGTGCAGTGTGGCTTGTGTTTGTCGGCCGGGAGTCTGGACTGGAAAAGCTGCTGCCCTGCTGTCTTGTCATGTGCCTTGTCAATGTGCTGTCCATTGGATGCGCTGTTGCTGATACTCACACTGCGGTTTCTGCTGGCCAGCCATTCCTGGGAAGGAAGGCACATCATGGCAGGGCGGTTTTTACAAAGTGAAGATGATTTTCTCCGAGGACTACCCCATGACGCCTCCCAAATGTCAGCTGATGGATGACACATGCCTGCTTTGTGTGTGTGTGTGTGTGTGTGTGTGTGTGTGTGTGCATGTATGTACTGTTGTGTTGGTGTGAGGATGCAGCAGCAGCAGCCGTGTATACCTGTCCGTGCTCATGTTACCTGCACGTATGCTCGCTTCTTTCTCACGCGTGCACATCTTCTGACCCACGTTGCTCGCACGCACGTGTTACCGCCTTGCGAATGGACAGGCCAATTCACCCCTCCGCTGTTTCATCCCAACGTGTACCCGTCCGGCACCATCTGCCTCTCTCTTCTCGACGCTGAGAAGGACTGGCGTCCAGGTGTCACCATCAAACAGGTGTGCGTATGCTGGAGAGGGGGGGGGGGTTGTATGCATGTACATTTGTGCGATGCGGTGTGTGTGTGTGTGTGTGTGTGTGTGTGTGTGTGTGTGTGTGTGATTACCGCTGTACAAGATTAAGTGATTTTTTTTTTTTAACCAGAAAACCTCAATAAAAAAACAAGCAAATCGAACGCGCCTCTTTTATTCATTTTTTTACGGAAGAAAAATAAATCTTTCTTCTTTCTTCCCCCCC